CACATATGTACAGCATGTATATATTCAGGAGCCCATGGGCTCCTGATATACATAACTGCAAACAGTGCTTTTTTTTTTTTTTGTTTGCCAGATCAAATTTTATTTACAAGTTGTTGTTATATACAGTGATTGTTAATTTCATCGAAGATGATTGTTTCGGCCTTCTGGGCCTCATCAGTGCAGTGCTGATTGCTAAGATGGGGGAGAACCGGGAGGGTCATCCCAAACGACCCAACATTTGTGGTATCGTCTAAGCCATGCTAGAGTGCTCAAACTAGAATAAACTAATGAGCATGTGCAATTGCAACAGCAATGACTCATCCTTGATAGAGTGCCCAATTTGGACATGAAAACAAAGCATTGTATGCCAAATAGCTATATATATATATAAGAATATTAATTAGCTAAAGTAAATGATTAACAAAAACACTACAGTATTGATACCGTTATGACGGTTGTGATGTCAGTCATCAACGCGGACGTTACGCACGGGCCTCCTAGATTACAGAGAGGGTGACCTTCACCGTTGCGTGACACTCAAGGATACAGGTAATTAAGAAGAGTGAGGATGTTGTACTCCTGAGACTGTATATATCAAAAACTGGCGCTCGATAGTTTTAATTAGATTTGTCTGGTGGCGCCTCTCCGGAACCCACACTGTAAAATTCACATGGTGTCCTAGTGACTACGTACAAAGCATTTGCAAAAAGCATTTGAATTATTTGACCTGATACTAATCGCCTTATCATTCAGTGCATTGTGGTTATTATGGTACTGGTGGTGGAATAGCGAATGGAATCCATAGATTATATTGATATGAAAGTAAACCAGCCTAATAGCGAGGAAAAAAACACATCTCAATTGTAGACACCCATCCTTTTCATGAAATGTTGCTTCCTCTTTTTTTTTTTTTTGCAGGTTTGTGGTGAAAAGAAGTCCCCTTCTTTACACTCTCCGTTGTTGTGGCATTGTTTTTGTTCAGTTCAATCCTCCAAAAAATCACAAATATTGCAGCAATGTAACGTAGAATATCTTACGTCATGGGAAAGCTATGAGAAAAGTAATGATAGAAAACTCGATACAATTGAGTTTTGGGCGATGAGCGGGGATCGGTAACTTAAAACTCTTTAGCACGCAGTCCGTGGACTGACATGCGATTCTATTCATCTGCAGTAAAAATTGCAATTGTTTTGAAATACCAAAAAGCCCCATTCAGAAAAATCCCTGCAAACAATATAGACAACGCTCTCTGATTTTTAAAATGATATGCTGGCTGCAATAATAAGCCAAAATAATAATATTAACCGGTCAGCATCTAAATCTCATCATTGCTGGTGTGGGAAATGATATGAAAAAAAAAAGATCCGTACGAAACAGGGGGGTGGGAATATTTCAGACACGTCCAGAAGACATAAGGTCGACTCTCAGAGGCACATCCATGATAATATGATGCCCCCTTTGTTGCCGAAGAAGAAAAAAATTGTGGATAAACGGAGTGACTTAATCCGCTTCAACATTTTTCGATATTAAGAGCTATGTTTCTCGCTTTTCTCAGACGGGGTAAAAGCTGTCTTTCATTTTCTTCTTTAATTGAGTACTTATCTCTACGTCTGTTTCAGCCCCTCGTATTGTTTCCGCTAAAGGTCATGTTGATTATTAAAGACAACTTTGCGAATCGGTGAATAATTACAAAGTTGCAAGGTGTGCGTACTTTTTGGGTGTTCAATATTTTAATATTTAAGAAGTTGGTTCGAGTTAGGTAACGGTATTGGTCGATATTTTTACACACCAAAAATAACCTGTTCTGAAACCGAAAACTTAATTCTTAAAGCTTCAACTGCGTTGCTTTTAAATGATGAAACTGATGATCGAAGTTAGGGTTTTAAGAAATTGTGTTTTTACAATAGAACTGTTTAATTATATTACATCCGCATACGAGAGGCATTATGTGCTGCCCATCATTCCAAGCGTATTTTATTTAGTACCCGGCCCCGCCGTGACACATCACTCGGCCAACGTTGCTGTCCCGCTTTCCGACTGTGAGGGTATCATACGCTTTGAGTCAGCTTCACTTTGGACAGGGAAGAGACCGTTTCCTAAAAGGCAGGTATCCAATTATAAATATCAGCTATTCTAATTATAACCTTCCATTACGAGGAGAAGTTTTCATTTCAGCTTGCAGGGAAATTTTGATAAGCTCATCAAAAATATGGACGCGCACTGTTGGCAGTTAAAGAGACATCGCTGGTACTACAAGCTCGAGGTTTTCGATATGAATTGTTAAAAGCTCGCTTCAAGGTGCTAAAAAAACGTATGTTATCGCCTTGTGTATAAAATATTTCGATTAAGATACTCAAGTCGTTTTCTTTTCCATTATTTCCTTGTTTATATGCCAACAAACCTCAAGGCTGCGATAAAGGTGTTTGTGTGTTTAGGAATGCGTGTAATGTAATCACTCGTATTTCCGGGCATTCGATTTAAATTCTACTGCATTCTTATTGACCCCTTCAAGGTATAGCCATTAGACGCTGTTGGTAAAGGTTCGGTAACTTTTAATTTTGTCAAACGATTGAGGGATTTAAAGCTTCTCTGCATGGAATATTTTGTGTGCAATCTACCGTTTCAATTTCATCAACAATACTTAGCGCTGTGTCTGTTACAAGAATTTATTTGCCATACAATTGATGATCCGTAGCTTTCTTCGCTCCATTCTGGCAAGGGAGGTTAGAATTTTTTCATAATTAGATTCTTAAATTGTAAATGAATGCGTGTGAATATTGAGTTATTTTGGCCTTCGGCATGAGTAGTTACTCTATTGTGGTTACAGGTCATTTAAAATGCTGGCTCTCGATAATAATACGGAGAAATCAAAACAGAGTAAAGGTCATTTACTGAGTCAAATCAATACCAGCGCTATTCAAAAGGCGATATAAACAAAATTACACTGTAATTTTAAAATAAAAAATTCGCACTTTTTAGTTATAATAACTATTTTAAGAGTCCTAAGACTTGCGCTTGAGCCAATTATAATGATCGCTAATTCTAAATAAATAGTTTTGATTCGTGATCGCTTTCACGTGAAGAACTATTTCCTTTTGAAACATTTAACCATGAGTGCCAGGCTTTTAAAGCTTATTTTTAATGAAGAATCATCAGCAATAGAAATACAAATGTAGCAAGTCAGATAACTTTGTCATGTAATAAGTCAGATAAATTTGTCACGTAATTTATGCTCGAACAGCACTAGGCATTCAGTAAACGAACGTAGAAATGGCATTTGTGTACATTTAAAATTATACCACGATGTGCCCGTCCTTAAAAGGTCACCCACGGATGTCTGTAAAAATGAAAGCGATTTACTCATTTTCTCTTAATTTTTAAGCAGTTATAAAGATCACAAAAGATTGCGAAACATCCTCTTTACAGCATGGCACAATATAATTTTGTTTGGTGAACTACAGAATGTAAGGGCACATTCATTTACCGTTGTATCTTTATATCACAGTGGTACCTATTATTGTCTTGAGTTGCTAGTCTCAATTAATACAAACAAGGTGGATCTCATTGACCCTGTATTTTGTGGTTGTTTTACTTGTTTTTTATTCAACTTGTGTCGGTGTTTTTGCCAAATTAAACTGAAGTAATCATGTGTATTGCAAGTTAGGAAAAGCAAAGAATAAGAAATAAATTCTGTTTAAAATTTGCCATAAGACTCTAGTTTGCAAATGGTAAGACCTGAACTCATGGCAGATTTAAAAAAAAGCACAAAAATGAGATTCAACACAAAAACAGGTGGAGTTAGAACATTCTGGGGCTTCTGGTGTCTAAATACTTGCTTTCATGTTTAAAATTATAATTTATAACTCACCCAGAGCCAAAGTTCTGAGAGAGGGAGGGTACAGTATATGCTTGAATGAAAGCTCAGGAAATCACCTATCATTCATTGTTTTCCTCTATTTTTTAAACAATAGGGGCATTTTTACTTGTGCATACATTTGTGTCCTTAGTGATGCATTTGGAGCCGTAAACAGAGAAGAGAAATGTCTACTGCAGAGTCAGAACAGGATAAACAGCCCATCAGTGCTGTGAAAGGGCAAGTGGGAGATGTGAATGATACAGTTTCTTCGGGAAAAGATGAATCTGTTGATCTAACACCACCCACAGAAGTGACAAAGACTACCTCTGAAACAGAAATTAAGGCTAATGACTCAACTGTCACTGAAGCAGAGTCAGCAAAGAAGGGTGATGAAGAAAAAACAGAAAATTATGCACAGAACTCTGAAGTTGTTGTTAATGGTGATTCGAGTGAGGGCCATGAAAATGGCTCACCCTTAAATAGAGAATCAAATGAAACTACTCAAAAGGATGAGGAGAAACCTGCAGATAGAAGTGAACTTGATGAAAGCAATGTTGTCACTATACCCATTGACTCTCCAAGAGAAGAAGACAAAGTAGAGACTGTTCCAGTGAAAGTAGAAGAAGCTGTTCCTAAAAATAAAGAAGGAGAAGAAGCAGGAGATGAAAACAGTGTGGAACAAAATGAAAATCAGTCTTCAGAAGAAAGTGCTGTTGCTGTAACAGGTAAATGCTCATTGTAAGTAGTATATTCACCTAATTGCAATACCATCAGCACATCAAAATGCAAAAAGCAAAAGAAAAAAAAAGATTTATAAGCTAAATAAGAGTTTATTGACATACAAATCCACCCTCTGGCTTAATGCACAGCAGTTGAACAATTCTCACAGAATTTCTGCAGAAAACTTCTTTCACACTTTTTTACAGTAGCAGGTGTTGTTTAGAGATTCCAAATTTACAAGTCATTCCAAAAATTCAAAAATATTGCAAATTTGAAAACATATAATAAATATATTTGCCTTTTTTCTCATCAAAAAGAGTCTCTTTTTGATAAGAAAAGAAAAAAGGTACATATATATATATATATTCAAATTTTCAAAGTTTTTGAATATATATATCTATATATATTCAAAAACTTTGAATATATATATATATTCAAAGTTTATATAATGGTGTATATATATATATATTTAGTATAATTTCAGAGCTGAACAGAGTTTCCAGCAATTTTATTGGTCGACCGGTTCCTTATATATTAGAGCGGGCAGTGTGGCTGAGTGGTTAGAGAGTCGGACTCGTAATCCACTTCTCCCGGGTTCGAGTCCCACCCTGACCACTGGATTTGTTTCACGGTAGCCCCGAGTTCACATCCTTGGCCACACTTGTAAATAGCCAACTGGTTTGCCTCTGGCTGGTTGGGGTTCTTAATGATGTTCTTAATGATGTTATGTTCAATTTAGACCATTCGTTTCATTTGTTTGCAAGGACCACAATGGAAACTACTGGTTCACCAGTAATTGTGTAANCAAACGACCCAACCTTTGTGGTATCGTCTAAGCCATGCCAGAGTGCTCAAACTAGAGTAAACCAGCGAGCATGCGCAATTGCAACGGCAATATATATATATATATAACTAACTGCAGACAGTACTGTTTCGGCCTTCTGGGCCTCATCAGTGCAGTGCTAATGCTAGGATGGGGGAGAACCGAGACGGTCACCCCAAACGACCCAACCTTTGTGGTATCGTCTAAGCCATGCCAGAGTGCTCAAACTAGAGTAAACCAGCGAGCATGCGCAATTGCAACGGCAATGACTCATCCTAGATAGAGTGCTCAATTTGGACATGAAAGCAAAGCTTTGTATGCCAAAGAGCTATATCTAACTGCAGACAGTACTGTTTCGGCCTTCTGGGCCTCATCAGTGCAGTGCTAATGCTAGGATGGGGGAGAACCGAGACGGTCACCCCAAACGACCCAACCTTTGTGGTATCGTCTAAGCCATGCCAGAGTGCTCAAACTAGAGTAAACCAGCAAGCATGCGCAATTGCAACGGCAATATATAGAAAGGTTAAACTTGTTAAACTTTTCTATATAATTTTATATATATCTATAGATAGGTTAAACTTGTTAAACTTTTCTGACTATTACACGTTATATTACACGTTATATATATAAAAATAGTCTGCATTTCGATTTTCTGTGTTACAATATCCATGATAAACGTTTCTAACATACCTATGCTGGATGTACATGTAATAAACTGAATAGAAAATTGTCTCCCTCAAGAAGTAGAGGCTGCTGACAGGAAAAGAGCTGTGACCATTGACAATCCAAGTGATATGAAGGAACTGGCTGAAAAGAGTGGGGAGTCGGCTAAAGAAGATGCAAATAAGTTGTCTGCACAAGAAAAGTCAAGAACTCTGGGGGACATTCAGGGAAGTGCTTCAACACCATTAAAAGTAAGAAATTATGCTTTTATACACTGCAACAACAGTTGTGTTTTTCACCACTTGTATAATACTGAATGTTACTCTATTTGAGGAGTTCTAAAGGACAAATGTTCCTGTGAATGCAAGGCCTAGTCTTTCAGAATATTTCATCTTCATATGCCTTCCATTTAAGATAACTATGCTTCTCCAGAAAATTGTCCACTGACTTTGTCAGTTAAGCTCTGACTCCTTCCAGTTTTAACAGTTAAGCTTGTTGGTTTAGCAGTATGAGTAGGAATATGAGCTCTTTGGTTTATTCTTGTCCTTATTCTTGCAATATAAAGTACTATTTATGGTTTGACTAGTAGTTTACTTGTTGCCATTATTATTCTTATTGTTGTTTTTATTGTAGTTGTATTTGCTCTTCAGTACAGTTGTAAGACCCATAAATTATAATGTAGTTGGCCTTGTGGCTTCAGAATTTTTTATCTTGATTTTTTCTCATTTATGCCAAGTCGTAGCGCTCTGAAAATGCTGCACCAGTATGCTACCTGGTGGATAACATTTCCTTCTTTAAGACACCTTAGACCTCACAAATAATCCTTCTTACCGTCAGTCGTACAGAATATTTCTCAGAGTGCTGTAGGAATAATTCTGCAAATTAGATGTGTAACCAAATTAGATATCCTAGTTCTTTTTTTTCTTTTTTTTTTCTTGATACTTGTCTGTTTGACATTCTAATGGTGTTATAAAGAAAGATTATGTATTTTTCACTTCTGATAGTGTGAAAGGATCAATGTATTTTTCTGTGTGTTTGTGGTTAGGAGGATGTTGCTGCTAGATCACAAACAGTCTGGTACACTAACGAAGCAAATGGATCAACAGCAGAATGTGAATCAGCTGAAGAGACAATTAGTTATTCCACCAGTATTGTAGGAGGAGTGGTTCATAGAACACCAATCCAGTCAAAGTAAGTGAAAGTAGAAATTTGTATTTGTGAAAAAAAAAACTTACATTTTACGTAAACACTCTAGTGAGTCTTCAACTTCCTCAATCTTCATCCCGTAATCGACAACTCTGATATAAAAGGTTTAATTTGTGTGTGTTTGGGTTTGGTAGGGGTGTGGTGCAATTTTATAAAGGAGAAATGCACACTGTATATGGTAAGAATTCATTTTTGGCTACAATTCGAAAGAAAAATAGTGACTCGTGTTTTAAGCGCACAGAAAGGTTTTGATAAGCCTCCCTTCCATAACCCTGTCTAGGATTTCAAATTTCTAATCAGTGTCCTGTAGGCCTTTTAGTACATTAAAGCTCTCTGTGAGGAGTGCGTGTGAGTCATGGCCTAAGTCTGAGAGATCGAAGCATGCAGAAGCAAACAAGTTGTGGATACAGTAAATTATGTCTGTTGGGTTAAAGTGGGTTTATTTATTTATTTATTTTTTGTTGATATTTTTTGTTGACAATAAAAGAGACTATTATTTAAAGGACAGACAATTCTTTGTGAACTTTCTCTTTAAATAATTATACACTTGTAATCTAATACACCTGGATTAATGATCTTATGAATGAGGAAATACTGTTTGCTTGTAAGATTTTGGCCTGCCATAGTAACTTGGCCTTATTTTTACTCAGTTGTGTACAGTAGTTTGAGAAGGAAAGATGAAACATATAACCAAATCTACTATTAGAATCACATTTATAGCATGCAAGTAGCTAACTATCATATGTTCATGTAAATATGCCAAACTTGGGACTAACTCCGTTAATATTTCTTTAGCTCACCTAAAACACTTCACAAGCAGAAAGAAGGAAGTCCTCAGCTCTCTTCATTAATATTTCATTAATATTTTATTAATATTTTATTAATATTAATATTTCATTAATATTTCTTTAGCTCACCTAAAACACTTCACAAGCAGAAAGAAGGAAGTCCTCAGCTCTCTTCATCGAAGAAGAGATCTGTCATAGATTCTCTATTCAGACGACATAAGAAGTCCAAAGGTGATCCGGAAAGTCCCCCTGAGACCACACCCAATGAAAGAGATTCTGCATCCAGTCCTAGTGGTGCTGATACGGATACTGCAAAGGACAGCAATGAGTTATCAGAGGAAAACGAAGAGACGGGAGGTGCTCAAAACGTGGATACTGACCAGGGGGCAGCAGGAGACGTCAAATCTGCTGCGGCAGAAGAGGGTGAAGATAGTGATGTTAAACCACAGCTACCTGAACCAGCGGAAGAAGCTACAGTGGAAGAAAAGGAACAAAGTAATGATGGTGTTAAGGAGGAAGAAGCAGAAACGAACAAGGAATCAAAGGTAGAGGAAGGTCGGGTGGAGTCGCAGGATGAGAATGAGGGGTCAGCACCCGTAGAAGGTGCAAAGGACAATGATGAGACAAGTCCTGAAGCCCTCAAGGATGAAGAGCCAAAGGAGCCAGCTGAAGCCCTCAAGGATGAAGAGCCAGAGGAGCCAGCTGAAGCCCTCAAGGATGGAGAGCCAGAGGAGCCAGAAGAAATAAAGGACTCTGTCAAGAGAGCTCACACTGATAATCCTGAAGAAGAGGAAACAAGTCCACCACCTGCAGCAAAGAAAAAGAAAACCATTTTTGGTGGTTTCTTTACGAAACGCAAGGGCAAGAAATCAAAAGGTGAAGACACGAGTTCTCAAGATAAGGCAAAAGACGAGAAAGATGATATACCGGACGAGGAGCCTCGACCTGTGGATGATACTACACCGGCAGCTGAAGTAGAAGGAGTGGAGATGTCAGACGATGGAAAAGACCAGTCTACACCAACTGAAACGGATGATAGCACTGCTACTGCACAGCAAGAGGTAACAGTGGATGTGATTACTCCAGCAGTAGATCAAGCTTTAGAAAGTGCTCAAGAGGAGGCAGTAACCGAGGGCAAAGTTGATGAAAATACTGAGGGGAAAGAGGAGGATGTTACTAAGGCAGGGGAACCAAGTACGAAAGTGGATGATACACCTGAAGGTAACAAGAGGTCTTCAGAGGATTCTTTGCATTCTGGGGGTGCTGAGACCAAGGTCAAAAAAGAAGAGACAGAGGAGAAACATGTGACAACTCAAGAAACTCAACCTAAGAAAAAGAATTCGTTTTTTGGTGGGATTTTGGCTCGGCGGAAGAGCAAGAAAACGAAAGGTGTTGACGAGGACCCTGCCGTCGAAACATCGCAACAGGAAGAGGATGATAAGGTGGAAGAGGAGCAAGGTGAAAGCACGTCAACTGATGATGCTAAACCACATAGCGCTGAAGTCAAAGAGACGCCAGAGAATGGGCAAGGGCAAGGTGCAACACCGGATTCAAGTGATGCCATTCCTGCTGGAGAGAAAGAAGTAGTAGAGCCTGTGATACGTCCCGCAGCAGATGAACCGGTGGAAAGTGCGAACGAAGAAGGAGCCGAGGCTGATAAAGATAATAGTAATGTTGACGAACAAGAGACAAAAGGTGTTGAGGCACAAACTACAACATCAGGAGATGACGAGAAGTCTTCAGAAGACGCTGTACAACCTAAAGAGGCCGAGGCTGTTGATGGGAGAAAGGAAGCAGAGGAAAAGACTGTCACAATTCAAGACAACCAACCACAGAAGAAGAAATCGATTTTTGGTGGCTTCTTTGCCCGGCGCAAAAGCAAGAAATTAAAAGATGATAGTTCGAGCCCTTCTGAAGACAAATTGCACGAGAACGACAGCGACAAAGTAGAAGAACACAAAGATGACGGTGTGTTAACCACACCTGTAGATGACACTACACCCAATGCAGAGGAAGCAGGGAAGACAGTGGAGAGCAGTGTTGAGACAGGGACAGAGCAAATTGGGGCAGATGACACTATACCCCATGTAGAGGTAGCAGGGAAGAAAGTGGAAAGCGGGACAGAGCAAAATGCGGTGCTCGGAGCAGGTGACGCCACTTTCACTGCGCAGAATGAAGTAGCGGAAGATGTGATCAGTTCAGCAGCAGATCAAGCTGTAGAAAGTGCCCCGGAAGAGACTCTAGTGAAGGAGAAAGCCGATGATGAGATTGGAGGACAGGAGTCAGAGGTGGCAGAGGAGGGTGAGCCAAGTAACCAAGAACTGGAACCTGTAGTGGCTGTGGAGGTTCAGAAATCTGCAGAAAATGAGAGTGGAATAGAAAATGATAAAGCTACAGTTAAAGGTAAGGAAATCGGTGATGGATAAGTTTAATATACTTTTCTATCACCAATTTACTATCATGAAATCCTATTGTATTGTATACGCTATGTTGCCTCCAGGTTATTGTAGGAATGCTTGTTTTCGAGCTAGAGTCAACTCTTTCTTACAACTGCGTTAGTTTTCATCTGCATTATCTTATTGAACATAAATTGCCCCGATACGCGTGTTAACGTCTTTTAAAGAATGCCTTTCGTGTTTCGAGTCTTTGCTCCTCAGCTTTCACTTTCACTTTCACTTGCTCTTGAGCTGATAATTTTGAGGCCAAATTGATAAAATGCTACAAGTTTATCTCATTTCTTCTTCGTTCACTTAAAAGTTAACGCAGAAGTCAATCAAGGATACATCAGTCAATTTCAGACAAGGGATACCTTTCTTTTTGTAGATTCACCCGAGCCCACAGTGGAAGAGCTGACTTCGCCTGAAGCGGAAGAAGCTCAGGACAAAGCAGATACAGCTTTAAAGGAGCGACAGGCACTCATGAAAGGTTCACACAGCCCCAAGACTCGCCGCATGCAGATGAGGATAAGTTATGCTGAGACGAATGGAGAAGGTGAGCGATCGTTTACTGTGTTGGGGACGGGTTTTAACCACTCGCTTGACTATTAGCAAAAGGTACTAAGACTCTGTAATTTTTTTCTTTATTCTCTACTCTTCTATTGTTGCTACTACCTTCTACTACCGCAACTATTTCTTTTCCTATCTTTTAGCAAGGAGTGCCCGCGTATTTAATGCAAAAATCACAGACATGTTTGGGTTAGCTGACCGTGGGAGTTTCCATAGTGCATTCGTTGTTTTTGCAAAAGGGGGGAAATTGGGTGGCTCGCTCAGAAGCACTTGTTGAGCGCCAAAGAACCAATTGAACGCTAATGATCGAGTTGCGCACTAGAATCACGCGCACAAACAGGATCTTCAGTGTGGGTAAGACTCAAGGTCAGTTTTACCAACCCAAACATGACCACCTATGAAACTAATTATTCTCAACCATAACAAGCGATTAAAATGTCTAGCGCGACAAGAAGGAAATCCGCGAACTGAGCCAAGTTCAAGCACACACTAATATTAAAAGATCAAAACTATAGATCTACCAAAACAACACGTAGGCGCAAAAAGGCGAGACTTATCAAAACAAAAGTTAAACCTAAAAATACTCGAAATAGCAATCCCTTAAAATACTCTACAACAACTGTCCTTGGTTTGTAAGGCCTTTACATCCTAACAACTGTATGCATATTCTCCATATTGTTATCTCGACAAGTTCTAATGTACTGACAAGGAAAATTTATCTAGCAATCAAGAACATCTTTTGTTGATGATCATTTTCTTGATTCTCGTGATCTTAATCTTTGATTCAGGAGTGAAATTAGATTCACTCTTAGGGGTGAAAACTCTCTGAAGTGACAATAACTCTCAAAAAAGAAACGACAACTTTGAGTTTAAATTTACATGACATGTTTCGAAATTCTCATGTCATCTTCAGTTGCAAATGAGCTTTTAACGGTTGTACATTTGAATTTATATTAAGGTACGTTACAAATTACGTGTCAGGGCTTACGTTTCAATTTGAATATTAAATACGCGAAAAATGTAAATAGCGCGCGCTTGAGTTATTGTCACTCTGCGCTGTCTTTACGTCCAATTGCTATTTTGTAGATTAATAACAAAACCTCCTTCAAACAGATAGCAGGCGTTAAACAGTAACTATTATTCATAATGACTACTTTCCCTTCATGATCCCCTAACAGAAATGAGTAATGGTAGAACTGACCTTGCGATGAGACAGAGGCAGATATCATGAAATACCAAGTAACAGAACAAAGATAAGAATCGAATTCTTCATATCACAGACAGCTTTCTGAGACCGAGTCCACGAAATAAATGCAAATAAATGCAAAAAGTCATTTTTTCCTTGCGGTAAAAATTCCTCACTTTCTTTTGACCATTGAGACCTGGATGTTACCTCATCGTTCTTTGCTTCAACGTGATATCTTAAGTCACTCTGCCAGCTGATATTCAAATCTGGAGAAGAGACTGGACACGATGGAATAAAGACGTGTCGTATTGAGCTCTGTGCTGAGCAAAAGTTATTTTCGATTTAGAAAGGGCCTTACTTCTTATTACACGTAGACGGTAAGGCCGTACCTGTAGAATAACTGTTATTATTAAAAACTGGATCATTGGATAATGCAATTCAAGACTTTTTATTGGCTTACCCATTATGGTATATGAGCCAATATACCATAATCTACAAATATGGTAAGCGTACGCGTCAGCTTAAAATCAAAAGGGAGCTAAAAAATCCAGTTTCTTCTTACAAAATAATAATTTCTTGGGGGCGTTTTTAATAAAACAATTATTCCACTCGCGCTTGTTGGATATGAGATGATTATAGCCAACTCGGCGCTACGCGCCTCGTTGGCTATCTATCATCTCATATCCAACGCGCGCTCGTGGAATAATTGTTAA